CAGAGTCATTCTTAGTGCAAATCACTGGACGTTAAGTAACGCGCTATCAATTGAACAACATTCTCACCTCCGATTTGTTCAATCCGAGCTCAGAATAGAGGCTTTCTAGCGGAGTTTTCAAAAACAACCCGCTGTCGTCGTAGGAATCCATGGAATCATCAAGAGCATACTTTCCTAATGTCCGTTCCATTTTTAACATTCTGGAAGCCGACAATCCATGATCGGTAGCCATCTGGGAGCTGTCCTAAAAACGTTGGAATAAGTGAAGTTTGTCAAATACGAAGGGGTACGATTTTTCACCTGCTTTGTTCGATTCATTGGATGGAAAACGTTTTTGACGTAGTTCTCAAAGCTTTGCGTAACAGGGCCTCCAGGTAACATATCCTCCTTAGAAGGCTTCTGCGCCCCAAACGGCGGTCGCCTCTCCGTCCACCCAAGATACTCGGACATTACCTCAATAGTTTTTAGAATGAATCAAGAATTTCAGGATGAAATCCGCGAGGAATTTATGAGTTGAGCTGGAATTGCTTTCAAGGATGCCTCTAGACTATATTTGAAGAATTGGCAAATTGCCTTATATGTGGAGGTCGCAAACTCTCATAGAAGAATGCCGAAATCTGTTAAACTTTAATAACAATAATTATAATGTCTTGATAGTGTAGAGTCATAATGTTATAACATTACCAATGTAATCAATAATACGAAAGCAATAGCATGCAGATGTGTAAGAGCTGTTTGCGAAGCGAGACTGAACACAACAAGATGAATAATCAATTATTATTTGATCATGGTAATGTTGATAACAAATTATATCGATCAAGCAATAAGTAACTCAAACAAGACAAGAAGAAGCTTATGTGAGATTCAATCGAAGCAACCCATCCCACTAATAACTGGATGAACGGCTGGGTAGAGAACTTTCTAAACACTGACGAATTGCTTGAGTGGCAGATTTGCCCCCGCTTGCTGTCTTTCAAGAGGAATTTGGACAAAAAGTAGTACACAGTCTGAGGTTGAAGTACCAATCATCTTTGATTGCAACTGATCATATCTCCTGGGATTAAGAGTATCCCTCTTTTGATATCCCTAGGGATTGAATCAATTTTGGTAAATGTTGGGAAGAGCTCCGATGTAAGCTCATGTTCTTATTGTCTTTTAATAACGCAGGGCTGTTAATAGGAATTTGGTATTCAAATTGAGAAAAGTATTGATGTAGTAGTATGATGTACGTTGGAAAGAAATAACTAATAGAAATTTCCAAGGCCAAAAGGGATCAAAAATGTTCAGAGGGAAGAAAAGCACAATCCTGCATTGTGCCTGAGGCAGTGAGCGTGCGCCAGTGCGACTCCCACGAGGCAGTTGTTCTCCTATCGAGGTTACACCTCCGAAAGCCACATGCTACGTTGCAAT